ATATATATATATATATATATATATATATATATACACACGGTTAAAGGTTACCTGTGTAGGTGGCCGGCGACGGTTGCAGGTCAGCGGCAGCGGCGGTTCAAGGTCGGCGGCAGCGGCGGTTGCTCCTGTGTACACGGTTGCAGGTGGAAGCACGGCGGTTCAAGGTCGGCGATTCAAGGTCAGCGGTGTTGTGGTCGGCCGGTGGTGTTTGCAGGCGGAATTGGGCCGGCTGGAAGAAACGCAGGCAACAAAATGAGACAGAAAAATGTTTAGGTTTAGGTTTGGTTTGGGAAGACAGGCGGCGTCTAAAGGAGAAAGATAGGGTTATATGTTTAGGTTACCGGCGGAAAAATCCGTCGGAAATTATTTCCTAATTTTTAAAATTTTTGAAAATAACCGGTTGAATTGAAAATTTTGAATTTTTTAGTATCCGGCGGATATTCCGCCGATATTCCGCCGGTTTTTAGATAAAAAATTAAAATTAAAATTATTATTATTATTATTATTATTATTATTATTATTATCACTAAAATATAATCATTAAAATTTTAGAAATAAAATTAAAATTAAAATTATTATTATTATTCTTATTATTATTATTATTATCACTAAAATATAATTATTACATTTTTTAATTATAAAAATTATTATATTTTTTTTTAAAATATGCAATATTATTGTTATTATTGAACCGTTAAAGCCCAATACAGTCCATTAAATTCCAATACGGTCCATTAAAGCCCAATACAGTTCATTAATGCTCTTCTTTGCCCAGTACGGTTTATTATGGGCCAATACGGTCCATTAATCTCCAATACGATCCATTATGGCCCATTACGATCCATTAAGGCCCAATACGGTCCATTAATGTCCAATATGGTTCATTAAGGCCCAATACGGTCCGTTAAGGCCTAATACGGTTTCTTAAGGCCTAATACGGTTTATTAAGGCCCAATACGGTCCATTAAATCAAAATATGGTTCATTAAGCCCAATACGGTCCGTTAAAGCCCAATGTCCGTTAAAACCCAATACGTTTCATTAAGGCCCAATACGGTTCATTAAGGCACAATACAGTTCTTTAAGGCCCAATACGGTCCGTTAAAGCACAATATGGTTCTTTAAGGCCCAATACGGTTCATTAAGGCACAATACGGTTCATTAAGGCCCAATACGGTTCATTAAGGCCCAATACGTTCCATTAAGGCACAATACGGTTCATTAAGAACCAATATGGTCCATTAAAGCAAATACGGTCCGTTAATGCTCAATACGGTTCATTAAGGCCCAATACGGTCCATTAATCTCCAATACAATCCATTATGGCCCATTACGATCCATTAAGACCCAATACGATCCATTAATGTCCATTACGGTTCATTAAGGCCCAATACGGTCCGTTAAGGCCCAATACGGTCCATTAATGTCCAATACGGTTTATTAAGGCCCAATACGGTCCGTTAAGGCCCAATACGGTTCCTTAAGGCCTAATACGATTTATTAAGGCCCAATACGGTCCATTAAAGCAAATACGGTCCATTAAATCAAAATACGGTTCTTTAAGGCCCAATACGGTTCATTAAGGCCCAATACGGTCCGTTAAAGCCCAATCGGTTCATTAAGGCCCAACACGGTCCGTTAAAGCCCAACACGGTCCGTTAAAGCCCAATACGGTTCCTTAATGCCCAATACGGTTCAGTAAGGCATAATACGGTTTATTAAGGCCCAATACGGTTTATTAAGGCCCAATACGGTTCATTAAGGCATAATACGGTTCATTAAGGGCCAATACGGTCCATTAAAAGCAAATACGGTTCGTTAAAGCCCAATACGGTTCATTAAGGCCCAATACGATCCATTAAAGCAAATACGGTTCATTAAGACCCAATACGATCCATTAATGTATTTTAATTTTAAAAAATGATTTTTCTTTATTTTTAAAATTTTTTTATTATTTCTTCGCCGGAAATCCGCTGGAAAAAGTTAGAAGTTTTTTCAATTTCTTAAAAATAAATTTTTTAAACATATTTCCGGCGGATTTATTTTTTTAAAAAAATCATTATTTTCCTGCCGGAAATCTGCCGGAAAAAATTAAAAGATTTACTTTTTATTTTTAAATTTTTTTTTTCTAAAACTATTTCCGGCGGATTTTTTTTTATATTTTTTTTAAATTTTCCGCCTGATATCCGCCGGAAAAGATTAAAAGAGTTTTTTTTTATTTTTTAAAAATTATTTTTCTAAAACTATTTCCGGCAGATTTATTTTTTTAATTTTTTTTAAATTAATTAACCCTTAATTAAGAAATCCGCCGGAAATCCGCTGATAATATAACCGGTTTAATTTTTCCGGCGGATTTCCGGCTGAAGTTAATAAAAGTTGACTTTTTTAACTTCAGTCGGAAATCCGCCAGAAAAATACTGGTGAAAATCATCCGTCGGAAAAATCGTCGGAAATACCCAATTTTCTAGTTGTGTGGATGTTTGATGGTTGGACCTTGCCTTTTGAATTCATGTATCAAAATATGACCAAGCCACTACACATGTTTCTTTCCTACTTTATGACGTAAACAATGATGCAAATGCGAATTAAAGACCACCGCATGTAGATATTGGGCGGACTTCCATCAATGGAACCTCACGTTTACTTAAATGCAACCCATGGATTCACATATAATAATATCTTATTGCCTTTTTAATTTGAAATACCTTTCTGATTCTTTGACCATTGAATATTTTGACTTTACATCAAACCGTCAACCTTTTCACTTTCTCATGATTCAACCTATATAAGCCATCTACAATTTTCATTCAAAACATAAATACGTAAAGTAAAGATGAGTACCAGTTCAGATGAAGGCTGCAGCACCAATCAAGAGCAGAAGAGATACAAAGGAATCCGGTGCCGGAGATGGGGGAAATGGGTATCAGAGATTAGGGTTCCTGGAACCCAAGACCGGCTCTGGCTAGGGACGTACACGACACCGGAGGGTGCAGCCATGGCTCAAGATGTGGCGTCTTATTGTTTAAGAGGAGCCGTGTCTTTGCATAAACTTAACTTCCCTAATATGTTACCTCCAACGGCACGGATCGACTTGTCTCCTAGGTCCGTTCAAAAGGCTGCATCGGATGCTGGAATGGCTATGGATGCACGGTTAATTGCCTCAAGAGAAACGACAACAGTAAATTACGATGATCGTTCAGCCAAGGAAGGTGAGGGTTTGAGCATTTCTGTGGATGATTATCTTTGAATTTGGTGGAATTCTTTTCCATATACGGTTGCATTACGAAAGAGAGTGTTTCGTTGCTCGATCACTGATGTATCGGATACGATAAATAAATTAATTACTGCTGGTTCCATCATTGGACAAAACTTAAAAGTGACTGAATGTAATATATATATATATATATATATATATATTTATTGTAATAGATATATAAGATTAGTATCATAATGAAAAATCAAAATTTGATCAAGAGATGTTATACAAATGTAACAAGAAATGTTAGCATATGTTAACCTACATTAACATGTTAAATTATGTGTCCTTTGTTAACAAAATGTTTTCTGTGCTTTTTATTAAAATTTATTTTTTCATCAAAACCTAATCATATACCTATAGAGAGAGATAGTAGGAGAAAGGGGTTATAATGGTTAACAAAGGGATGTGCAGACGACTTGTCTATAATTTCAAATCCTAACAAAAATCATGTGAATCACATGTGATTTTGGACGTGATTTTATTGTATGATTACATATGATCCATTTGATCGTTTTTGTATTTTCTTATTTGATTATTGTTCACGTTTGAGACGAATATATATATATATATATATACATATATATATATATATAATATATATATATATATATATAATATATAGGATATATTTCTTTTACAACCTTGTGTATTTGTACAACCCTTGCAACCCAATTAATTGAGATATTTATAGAAATGATGGAAGTTCATTTATTATGATTTAAATATTTATGTAATATGAATAGAGTTCATTAATTATGATTAATACTTTATATTAGGAAACAATCAAAACTTCTATGAAATCACATATTCATCAAATGAAATGGACGAATGAGATTGAGTTGTATTGGTTGCACAAATGTCAAGGGTTATATATATATATATATATATATATTTTAATAAAGTTTGAAAACTTTTGTTTTGAGAAAAGGTTATTTGAGATGGATACATTTGTTAGAAAATGTTGAAAATAGTTGGGACGACGGATCTTTGAATGAACACAAACAAATGTCAAATGAACATATGGACTCGTAGCAGTCAAACACGTGCATGTGAAGTCGTTGCTTGTTGTCATGTAGGGGAAGAATTAGACACGAACTTGTAATTTTATAGAATTGCCAAGTTGACAACTTTCAGTAGTGGTAATGTCATGGTACTTTTGGTTTAAATTTTGACCAGAGTTCTATGTTCAATTAGGTCAAACCTTGAATTATTATTTTCTTTTCTCTTTTTTATAAGATGGTACGATAAATTGGTCAATTAACGAGAAAGTGATTAGTTCTAAGATTGCATGTAATTAAAAAAAAAAAAGAACGCATGTAATATAATATGTTCAAAAGGATGCGGGTGACTTTGGTCAACGTGATTACAGATGTTGGAAAAGTCGTATGCTATATGGTTGGTCAATGCAACATGCACTATAAGAAAAATTGGGAAGGTTTTGTACTGAAAAGCTTCTCTAAAGTCAATAGAGAATTTTTTCAAATCCGTTAATAAGTTTCTCTATATAAGGGTAATTAAAGGTTTTAGGTAGGGATTTTAAATGGTGCATTTTTGTTAGCCTTTAAAGACATATTTTTGGGCTTTAGATACACTTTCAAAATTTCCATAATGGCCAATCAATTTTTTTTAAAAAGCTTCCCTAAAAATATTTTGTAATGATGTTTTCAAGTATTTATGACGGTTTATAAGAGTTGTTAAAGAATATTTTCAGAGAAAATAATGGAAAAGTTTCTCTAAAGGTATTAACTTTAGTGATACTGTTAGAAAACATTCTCTATAAGGTCCCCTTTAATTACAGTTACAAAACTTTCTCCAAATATGATATTTAGATACACAAACTTAAAATTTTCTCTAAAAGTTATCTTTAGTTAAATCAATTATTTCTCTAAATATATATATATATATATATATATATATTTATTG